CAGGCATGTCTTGTGCGCTCCAGGCAAACAGCTCCCCAAATTCTTCGGACCAATTCTATCAAAGGCGCCTTCATGACTTCAGGGGCTTGCGCGGATATTCGCACTTGTCTCTCTGGGCGCCCTTCATCTATCGCCACAACTAACTCATCGTCCATAGACTCTGCTCAGGGAGCCTCCTCGGGGCGAATGTCGATGATGTTTAGCCTATGTTTTCGGATGCGGCATCTTGGTTCCTCCTTTAGTGCATATCGTGGAACATTCCTTCCCCGCGAGATGCCTATGCCTTGTGGCGCCACAAACTTCAGCGTTTGGTGATAAGTGGAAGCCACTCCATTGAATTGTGCATAGAGTGGTCGACCAAGTATCACGTTGTACGATGATGGGCAGTCCACGATTCCAAATTCTACCGCATGCGTCACGCAATGTGCTTCATCACTGAGGGTCACGGGCAGGCGCACTCGCCCGATGACTTGGGCGGGCACCCCTGAGAACCCAATTAACACAGAGCTTGAGGGGCGCATCAACTTAGGCGCCAATTGCATGCACTCAAACGTGCTTTTGAACAGGACATCCATCGAACTACCGGTGTCCACCAACATTCTTTTCACCTTGCATCCTGCTATCACCCCTTGTATCTCCAAAGCCTTTTCCGACGGGACATGGCACGCCTCATCCGGTTCTTGGTTGAAGTGTATGTGTACCGCTGCTTTTGCCTCCAACGAGGTGGACATTAGGCGCCTAGTTCTCTCCAATTTCTCTCTCAGGTCGAGGGTGCCGGTTATGGACTCGACTGTGAGCCTGACGCAGCTAGGTTCTCCTACTTGGTCCACTTCAAAAGGAGGTGGGGGTATCTCAGGCACCTGCTGAGTCACCGGCACTTCAGGCGTCTTCTGGACCACAGATGCCGCAGGCACCGGCCTCGCAGCATAGGTGCGATGAGTCTTTTCTTCCACTCTCCTAACAAAGTCATTGAGCATTCCCTTATCGGCCAAGGTTTGAAGTTCAGCTTTAAGTTGGTAGCAATCAGCTGTGTAGTGCCCCTTGTCCCGATGGAAGTCACAGTACCGATCAAGATTTTTCTCATTTGGTTGGCCCCGCATAGGCCCCGGCCAACGTATGTGATATCCCCTTTCATTCACATACTGCAAGACATTTTTTAGCGTATCATTGTACTCCGTGAAATTTTATGCACCCCTTAGCAACGGGCGCGGCGCCTCCGACCTTCTTTGCGGGCCGAGGTTTCCCATCATGGGGCTCGGCGCCTGCCTTACGTCAACCTCTTCACCCCTCAGACGCCTATTTTCTGCCCTCCGTGCAGCCAACTTTTCCTCCAACATGATCACCTTCTACACTCTCCGATCTAGGTCTTCAGTGGACACCACGTCTCGCTTAGAAAGGACTCGGCACAACTCTTCGCTTGCAGTGCATGCATCCAGGCAAAATCCCAACACCGCTGGATGGACGTTTTTAACCGCCATGGCGATTGAGATCCATCGGTCGTAAAATTCTCTAAGCGCTTCGCCTTCCCTCTGCTGCACCTTGAATAAAGCGCCTATAGTCAAAGTTCAATGCTTCCGTCTTGCGAATTTGGACAAGGACAGCTCCGTGAATTGCTCAAAACATTTGATGCTCCCTTCCTCGATTTGATGGTACCAGTCCAAGACCACCCCCGCAAACGTGGACGGAAATACCTTACACAACGTAGCATCCGAGCTGTTGTACAGTTGCATCTTCGTGAAATAGCTGTTCAAATGATCTGCTAGGTCTGCCACCCCATCGTAACTAGGTAATGTCAGGATCGTCGTCCCCGCCGGCTCCATCAAGATACTTCACGCCAGGGGCTGCCACCCCATCGTAACTAGGTAATGTCAGGATCGTGTGTTCGGCTGGTAGCCTCCAGGTACGCGGGCCACCAGGTAGATCGGCGTCCTGCTCAGCGTAATGCGGAAATTCATATTGCATGGACTTTGAGTCATCCCCCGCCCTTTCTCGCTTTCTCACCCCTAGGCTGTACGTCATCATGTCTTCGCTTCGTCCTCCTTCCAACTCCCTTCTGAGCGCTGCTATGACCCGATCTTGGTCAACTATGATTAGAAACAACTCCCTCTTCGTCAAGGATTCCCCTTCACCCGCCGACGGGCGCCCATGGCTGCCCTCTCCTTCCACGTCCATACGCAACTCCTGACTCGGCTGACGCTCGCCCTCCTCGGGGTTTGAGGTCTCCGATCTCGGACTATCCTCCCCTTCATTCCCTTCATTCACGTTATGACTCGCTATGACACAACTCCTAACAATGGCCAAGTGTAACCAATGAAAGGGACTGCAGTATAGTGGCTCAAGTAATAAATATCGAATCCACGGGTCTCTAGAGTTACTATTACTCAGCTTCAGTTCATTATCTAGCAAACCAGATTAAGATGAAAGAACTAAAACTACTCTAGCAAACTACAGTTAAAGTTAATCTAATTACAGGTTGGGAACTCACTTAGGTATGATTCCCCCTAGCCACTAGCCAGATTAACGATTGATGATCTCTAACTTGTTTCACTTTCATTCACAATGCGGAGAATCCTTGACTAGACCTTGAGTCTCGACTAAAGGAACAAGGCCCTCTTGAGTCAATTGCCTAGAGGGACGTATCCTTCTCTAGAACAACCGATCAAGGCATTCTGAACTAGACTCCCTCTATCGAATGTGGTTCTCAATCGATACAAAGCAGTGAATCAACCCTCGACTAAAGCAATCGATCCTCTACTATCAATCTATGGTGCTCTATTGACCTAATCAGGTATTCGCTCTCATAGGATCAAAGCAGAATCAATAATCTCGACTAAAGTAGAATTGAATCATGAAAACTTGCATAGATTGAATATGAACTCAAGATTATCAAGTAAGAGTACTCATACAATCATCCAATCAAACAAACATGGCTAGGGTTCCTCAAAACCTAAGTGAAGGGAAGTTACTCCATAGAGAAGAGAGAGACTGCAGTAAGAATCTTCAGATGATCAGTCTTCAAGTCTGGGCTTGTTCGTCGAGCTTCCAAGGCAAAGAAATCCTCCAATTCCACTCCAAGAATGCCCTCAAATCGCCCTCTCTCTCTTTGGTTCGTCCCTTGGGTGTTTGGGATTCAAAACCCAGCTCTCCCTTGCAAAAATGCACAAAGCAGGCTTTTAATAGCCTGCGTTCGAGATCCCCGGTCAAAATCCCCTGTCGAGTATTTTAGGTCACGACCGGGGATTTTTTGTTCACGACGGGGGATTTTTGGGAAAATCCCCTATCAAGGCCAAAAATCCCCTACCGGGGATTTTAGCGTCACGATAGGGGCCCCTTCTGTTTCTCAGAGAAGCCCAAACCAATTTTCCCCTATCTTTTGATTCTTCGTTTCTCCCTCGTTCGGACTCCAAATCAGGTGTCGTTAGATCCCAGACGCTCGTAGTCTCGTCCTCTTTCTTCTCTTGACAAGATTACATGATTATATTGTCACAAACTAAGGTATAAATCCATTCTTCTTCAAGTCATACCCGAGTTTCTTCCCCCGAGTCGCCAATTGATCTCCGATTGACTTGAAACTTGCGCCTACGCTTCACTTTATGTGCTAGGACCTGAAATGTGACAAAGGAACACAACCTAGCGTAAAATAGGCAAAAGAAGCGATAATGCAAGCTTAAACGATCAAGAAACAAAGGGGAATACATGTGCAAATATCGAGTCATCACGTTCTCCATGCGCCTATTCGGAACTTATGAGAACTATCCACCGCAGAGGCGCCGGGACCTTGCACAAACAAGCGCCTAGTGGGTCTCGGGGTGCCCGTTAGCACTCTAACGCTCAAGTCAGTGCAAGTTCTAGAGAGATAAGTGTCGAGAAAGATTTTAGAGAGAGAAGCCAACTTGCGTAAATGCCACCTACCGAGCACTATTTATACTTGTCGAAGTCCCAACCGTCCTCCAGGCATTCAGCACCACGTCATCACTTCATTTAATGCTTGCTACGGTACAACAGTCGGGCGCCTATACGTGGCATCTTCAGGGCGTTCCAAACTAGGCGCCCAGCAGGGTCCACGATCGCCAGGTGTCTCCATCTTCACTTTCCCACTCCGTACCGTGTTGTCCTCACCTCCCTTTTGTCGTTATGCGCCTACTCTCCCGAGTGTGGCCCCAACTCACTAGCTTGGGCCTGCCTCATCACTCCTACCCGTGGGCTTGAGCTTTAACCATTTTCATGTCACCCTGGGTTCGGTTAATGCTACCCCAACAAAATTTAAAAATCAAAATTTATACACTCGTTAAAATGATATCAATTTTGATATTTTTTAGCAAAAAATATCCACATCATTTTACTACTATTATATCATGAAATTAGTAGCACTTCAATCTATTAACTATTGCCTAAAGATTCATGTAAGTTGTCTAAAATGACTTTGCCTTCCAACCCTTATGCTAACCTCACCGTCAAATATACTTCCAACAACAACTGTCCATATAAAGTTTTGCAGTTCTACAAATATAAATGTTTTGTATTAAAATTTATGCTTTATATACATAATATAATTAATTTTGGACGCAAATATATCAATGCAAAAAATACACAGATTTTACATATGTGGTTTGTTTTTAGGCTTGACACTGTGGTATTTTATTTATTTTATAAGATACTTTTGACATTTATTAGCTAACCCTTACATTTTCAATTCTTATTTGGACGCACTTATTTGACTATTTCAGTGTTTCTGCTAACTCGCGTTTGTTTTTCTTCTTTTTGCCGACCGCAAATTCGTAGGGGAGTAGATGGCACCAATTCTACGTTTTATTGGTGGGATATAAACGTTTGCCGTTAATTCAGCATACGGAGGAGAAGGAAAATGACAAGCGTCGTCCAAGGGAAGGCACAGATCGCTTTGCTAGTTGCTTGTTTAAATCGACGCTGCAAGATAATCCAAATCCACAGGTCACCACTCACCATTGATAGTTTGATACCGTAGAAGGAAAAAACAAAACAAAAAAAGAGTTGTTCATTCCTCACTAAGTGGACCATCGAAAGTCTTCGGTTCTACATTGATACGAAATTTGACGGGAAGGTCCCCAAATCCAGATCCGTTTTTTGGATCTTCCGTCATCACCATCATCAATACTATCCATCTGCCACCACAAATTTAACGCCCCTCTGAGCTCCCTTTATAAGCACCGGAAATGCAGAACTTTTCTGCTCATGCTGCTTCCCGGTCTTTTCTTCTGTACTACTCTGGCTCCTTCATTTCCCTCATCTCCTTCTACGGACGAGAATGATCTCCGGGGCGGCTCTTCTCCACAGACCCACCTCGAAATTCTTCTCTGCTCGTCCTTACCGGACCAATTTCTCCAGACCCAGTTTGCGTATTCGGTTTTCTACCCCGGAATCGACCGGCTTTCGTGGAACTAGGACGAACGCGAGAGCTGGACTTTCGTCGAACACCATGTCTACCGAGTCGTTCAAGTCGCCTGGAATTAGTAGGGGGAGGAACGAGGAAAGTATGGGAGTACATCAGCAGGAAGTTTTGGTCAACGACTCTCCCGAGTTTCAAGCTCTATCAATTGACGGCGGTGGACTGGAAGCTACCCTCAATAGCATGGTTTGTATCCTCGTTCGTTCTCTGTCGTCTCTTAACCGTCGATTGGTTTTAATAGCACAAAGAAGTTTCTATTGTTAGCATTTGTGGCAAATTTCAATTCAGGGGTTTTGGGTAAGTCACTGCCTTGATTAAAGAAGTCCCATCTACCAATCGAACTGTTGAACGAGGTTCCCTTTTTCATTTGTTTCTTCTTGGGTTGGTGGCAGAGCAAATGGTTAGTATCTGCGGCTTTTGGCGCTTTCTTTCTGTGGAGGCACGATGCAGACGCGCTGTGGGTGGCTACAGGTGCTGTCATCAATTCGGTCCTGTCAGTGGTACTTAAGCGGATTCTGAACCAGGAGAGGCCATTTCCTACTGCGAGAGGTGACCCTGGAATGCCTTCTTCACACGCTCAATCCATATTCTACATTGTTACCTTTGGCGTTCTCGCAAGTAAAGTTCCTTCCTCTACTACACAATCTGCTCCATTTTTAGCTTGTTGGGTGGCTCTCAGTTGTTTGGTCCGAAGTCTGAATCATTTGGGAATTTGCTCTCTGAATTCTGTGTTGCAGCTGTTGAATCGCTAGGGGTGAATGCAGTTTCAGTCATCCTCACTGCAATGTTTTTGGCTAGTGGCTCCTATTTTGTGAGTGCACACCTTTCTCAGCTTGGGATGATTCCAGGGTTCATATTTCTAATGTTCTTATTAGAGTCAAACATGGTGGGAGATTTTGTGACCAGAAGCTTGCTTTCTCTTTTCTCGTCCGTTTTTTGGATTGGCAGTCATGGCTACGAGTATCGCAGAAGCTACACACAGTGAACCAAGTGGTGGTTGGAGCAGTAGTGGGTACAGGTTTCTCAGCTTTGTGGTATTGGCTATGGAGTGAATTTGTGTTTCAGGCTTTCATTTCATCTGTTTGGGTTCGGCTGGTGGTTGTTTTGGGCGCTCTTACATTCTGCGTCAGCTTCATCGTCTATGTTATTAACTACTGGCTTATTGATGATTAGTTCTCTTATCTCTCTTCATTCTTAGTCAGTTTTTAAGAAAAACTATGATATCAGTTAATAGACAAGAGGCTACAGAAAATCCTGTAGATTAGCTGATAAGATGGACTGGTTTATCCCAGGACAGGGTTGTAAACTTGTAATGTATTCATGTAAAATAATGTCTGCATGTCCTTGTCAATTGATGGCAATGGCTAATTCTTTCCAAGTTCTGTACACAATCAATCAGAGGTGCAATTAACATTGTCCACTTCATGTAATACATCCTTTGCCCAGTATACAATACTGGAATTACCTTGTTTGGACAGCAGGTTTAGAAGGACAGAGAATCTCACTCACACAGAACATCGAATTGCTCAATTGGTTTAAGTATCTCAAGCTCTATTTGACTACTCTTTGCACTTGTAACTCGGTCTTGAGAAAAGCATGGTCTTGATATAGCAGTAGGCTTGGCAACTGGGCCCGAATTCCGGGTGCCCGCCCGAGCCCAATCCGTCTCATGGCGGATTAAATCCGTTTCACCGGATTGTTGACGGTTTCTGGGGAACCCGAAACCTGCTGTAGCCGGTTGCCGGGCGGTGATGGTTTTTATATAATCCGTCCCGGCAACCCTCGAAACTAGCAATCAGAGAACCCTAGCACTCCCCATCCCACTTCATTCGCGAAAAATCCTCCTCCTGTATCCAAATCTCGTTCTGATAAACCAATCTCCAGCCCCAACCCTTCCTCTTCTCCTCAAATCTCGCAGTTTTCTCTTTGATGGCAAAGAAAACGGCAAATAATCCCTACATTGATTGCTCAAAAGATCAGATACCCAATCAATCAGTTGAAACCCCATCGATTTTTCGAATCAAGCCATTCCCGATGGCGATTACAGTTGCACTTACCCTTTATCGACTCTTTCTCTTCGTCATCATCTTATTCTTCTCCTTCTTCATGCTTGCCTTTATAAATAAACTAATTGATTGTTGATGACTTGATATATACACATGTTTTTGCCCACCATTCTTGTACCGTTTGAGTCTTATTTCTCGTGTTTTAGGCCGATTTCACGCTAGGTTGTTCTTGTTGGTGATATTTCAGGTCCTAGTATGTGAATGAAAGTTTGGGAACGAGTTCTGGGTCGATTGAACGAAGATTGGACGTTTGGCGAGAAGCTGAGGAAGCCACACGAGCATGCCTAAAATCCCACACGGTCGTGTGGCACCATTTTGCACGGGCAAGCCACACTGGCCGTGTAGGGGACCCCTTCTGGCCGTGTGGAAAGTCCAGGGAGCTCACACGGGCAGCCTGGAAATCCACACGGCCGTGTGTCCCTGGACGTGCAGCATGCCTGAAAACTCACTAATCGAAACGGCGCGTTTTGACATCCACACAGGCATACTGGAAAGCCACACGGCCGTGTGGCCTGGCCATGTGGTCGGGAATTTCTGGGTTTTAACCCAATTTCGAGCCAAAGGAGAAGGAATCGACTTTTTGGAGCAAAAACAGAGCCCTAGAGAGAGAATGTGCGAAGAACACATCATAGAGGTGATTTTGGAGTTGGGTTTCATCTATCGAGCTTGGAGATCATCATAGGAGTGAAGATCATCATCCCAGAGCAGATTTTCCTCATCTTTATGAGTATGACTACTCTAATTACTGTTTTCCTCTCTCTCTCTCTATATATGGAGTAGAACTTTCTCTCACTTGGGTATGAAGAATCCTAGTTCCATGTGTTAGAAATCGTGATTGTAATGACTTGGGATTGTTATACTGTTTGATTTTAATTGATTGATGCATGATTCATTGAGTCAATTGAAGTCTGATCATCTTTTCTTGATTTCTGCTGCAACCTGAGATAGATAGAATCTGATTAGGTTGTTAGAGCTTCATCAATCGGTAGTGGTAAATTGGTTATACGAGAGTTAATCAATTTACTGCTTTGTACTGGAATTTAATTCCAGTAGTGGAGTTCTGTGCTTATTGCCTCAGTAGTCTATCCCGGTGATGATTAGTCGCCTGCCGGTTAGCCTGCCTGAGAGGGCTTGGTCAGCTTAAGAGTTCCAAGCTACTGTCTGATCTTCCGCAGTTTAATCAACAGTTAATCAACCTAGGGTAATTACAACTGAGACCTAACTAAGGAGCTAGGGGGACTCATTCCCGAGTGACTCTTCCTTTGCTTTAGAAAACCGAACCATTTCCTGTTTTCTTACCGCTTTTAGTTAAAATCACAATCACTCAACTTAGTTTGCTAGATAACATATAAACACCGGGTTGACAATTAGAGCTTGCCTGTTACTGCATTTCCGGACTGCGATTACACTTGGTCGCAGTTTGGTGTTGTGTTTTAGCGTGTCAAGTTTTTGGCGCCGTTGTCGGGGAACCTCTAGGTTATTGGAGAAATGTGAAAGCTTGTTACTCTAGCCTTTTCTTTACTGCATTTTCTCTCTTCTACCTGTGTGATTTCACGGGTTGCTTTTGCTATTTGTGTGCAGGTAGTGCATGACCCGTAGCCAGTCGGGAGATTTACTACCATTAGACTAGGAGCTTGAACGGACCTATAGGAATTTCAAGCGGGCTCTAAAGGCGCGACTGGCTGCGGAGGAGGCGCTAGCACAGCTGCAAATCGCGACGAATAAGAGATGAGTGACCCACAGGACCATGATGTGGTCCTTCCCGAGGAGCAGACCATGTTATATTACTGGACCGCAAGAGTCGCGGACATGAGGCCGCCCATTCAACACCCTCATGTTCCAGTGAATAACTTTGAGGTGAGCACCTCTGTCATCACCATGCTGCGGTTCGGTGGTATTCCGTGGCAAGGAGGGGGAGTGCCGCGATCACACCTGAGGCGATTCCACGAGCTCATCGATGGGATCAAGATCAATGGGGTTCCAGCCGATGCAATCCAGCTGAGGTACTTCCCATTTACACTGGAGGGGAAAGCCAAGGAGTGGCTAGACACTCGACCTCCAGGCTCGATCACCACGTTCGCCAACCTGGAGGACAAGTTCCTCACTTGCTACCATCCTCCGTCCAAGACGGCGGACCTGCAGAAGCAAATTACCCACTTTGCTCAAGACGAAGATGAGACCATTCGGGATGCTTGGGAGAGATACACCAGTCTCTTCCTCAAGTATCCCAACTATGGTTTTACCGACGCCTTCAAGGTGGGCTCCTTCTACCATGCCCTGTTCTCGGAAGACAAGCAGCTGATTGACTCGGTCTGTGGCGCGAATATGCTCACGAACACACCGCCACAGCTAAATCAACTTTGTGAAGAGATGACAGAGCAGGGATATGATTGGAGAACTGCGAGGAGATCGAGACGAGCACCAAGGCGGGGTTTGCATGCTGTAGCCACCCAGTCATCTGATTTGGTGCAGGTGGTATCGAAACTGGTTTCAGCCATCAATCGCTTTGGGATGATTTCAGGCACAGGACAGCAGCAGGTGATGCACTGCCAGTGGTGTGAGAGCTCCCATCACACTGTGGAGGACTGTCAGGCGATGAGGGAGTCGTCTACTCCCCAGGAGCAGGTGGACTTCATCGGCAATGCCAGGCGCTTCGGCCCCTACAACAACACTTACAACGAGGGGTGGCGCCAGCATCCCAACTTCTCCTAGGTTGGGGCCAATTCTAGACCACTAGTCCCCCAAGGACCACCTGGATTCTAGAGGCCTCCTTACCAGCCCAGACAAGGGCAATTTCAGCAGCCGCAACGCCTCTCTACCCGCCCAGACAGGGGCCAGTTCCACCTCAGTCACAGGTGCGACCATTTCATCAGACAGGGGCAGCACCTGCAGCCCCAGTACAGAGTGACCCGATGGCGGAATTGCGAGATCTGGTGGGTTCTCTGGCCACCTCTAGTGCAAAAAAGTTCAATAACATCGAGCAGTTCATGGAGAAAGCTTCAGGTAAATTCTTGGAGCTAGAAGCTGGTCAGAGAAACACGCAGGCTGTGCTGCGGGATATCCAGACCCAACTTGGGAGTGTTGCCCAGGCTGTAGCTCAGAGGACTCCTGGTACTCTACCCGGTCAGACCATCCCTCATCCGCAGGACCCAAATGAGCACTGCAAGGCCATTACTACCAGGAGTGGCAAGATGACTGCTGATCCACCTGTTCGGGCACAAGAGAGAGAGACCCCTACTTCAGCACTTCCAGCTAATAAGGAGGAAATAGAGAAGGAGGTTGAGGTGCCTGCTCCTAAATTGCAACCAGTGGTGAAGGAGTATGTACCGCAGAACGAGGAGTGTTCTGCCATCCTGCAGAACAAACTACCAGAGAAGCGAAAAGACCCAGGGAGTTTCACTATCCCTTGCATGATTGGTAGTTTGCATATAAGGAAGTCCTTGGCGGATTTAGGCTCTAGCATAAATGTCATGCCATATAAAATGTTTAAAAAGCTAGGCCTAGGTGAACCTAGTGATACGAGGATGAGCATTCAACTTGCTGATAGATCCATTGTGCATCCTAGGGGCATTGCAGAGGACTTGATAGTCGCAGTAGCCCCATTCTCATATCCTATTAACTTTGTGATTTTGGACATAAATGAGGATGTGGATGTGCCTTTAATATTGGGTAGAACTTTTCTCGCCACCGCCAAGGCGCTCATTGATATGAATGATTAGAAATTGATTTTGCGAGCTGGGGGTGAACAAATCACCTTCTCTGTTTCCGATAGTATGAAACACCTCCAGCTCCATGATGATCTGGACTACTGTGATGTTATTGCTGATTTTGAGACCGCACTCGCCATCACGAGTGCGGGTACTGATGATTTCCTTGAGCGTTGTCTTTTGCTAGGGGAACATGCATCACAGGATGTGCTGCTGGAGGACCAGCTCGCGGAGCTAGACGAGGCCGCGATCGAGGGGAGAGAGAAACCATTCAAACCGATCCCTATCTCGCCCCGGATCGCTACATCATTGGAGGAGCCGCCAGATCTGGAGCTTAAGCCCTTCCCCTGTCACCTGGAGTATGCATTTCTCTGGGAGGGGAATAAGCTCCAGGTCATTATCAGCTCGGATCTGACACCCGAGCAGAAGAGCAGGCTGGTGGCGCTGCTGCAGAAGTATGCTCGGGCCATGACGTGGAAGATCACAGATATCAGAGGCATTAGCCCATCCTTCTGCTCCCACAGAATTCTGATGGAGGATGAGGTTAAGCCAGTCAGGCAGCCACAACGGAGGTTGTCTCCCTACTTGGAGGCAGTGGTCCGGGTATAGATTGTGAAGCTCATGGATGCAGGGATCATCTTTGCTATTGTGGTCCCGAATGAGAAGAACGAGATGATCCCGATGCGGA